GAGTAGACAATATGTTAAACTAGCATCGATGCAGATGTCAACAGAGAATGGCTAATTAGAACTTTTCGATATGACTATTTCTGCAGGCAGGTCAGGCCAATTGACAACTGCGAATTCACAATTAATCAAAGATTTTACTTAAAAATTCACAGCGTCATTCGTCTAGAAAGGTGTTCTCAGCGATAATGGATTGTGGTTTTGATCTTGTCCAGGCCTCATCGGAATCCTAATCGAGGCTTTCTTCGCCTGTGAACAGACACATTACTGTTCCGGCAACACAATTTTTAATTTTCCCAGCATTCGTCATACGATATGACAAGGAATGCATCTTGGATGTCAAAGTAAAGTCGGATAGTAAACATAGAAGCGAAGTCGACTAACCCTAACAGACGGGCAACCAATTTAAGTTAATAGGATGGAAGGTCTAAGAGACAAAAATAAAATATCGAAAAGTGAACATGATAAAGCTTAAGGAAATAAGGAAAGGAAAATGCAGATAGAGAGGAGGTCTATATAGGATATAGTAGCAAGGAGGCAGTGAGTGCTCAAAACAACGACTAAGAAATGTAATCAACTCTCCGAATAGCTACGCCCAAAGTGAGTGATGACACGGCTCAGGAATGCAACACATGACGGCAAGCAAAGCGCGATAAGTCTGGTGAAGCAAAAGGAAAATGCTCTACCGCCTCCAGCCTGAAGTTGACTGCTACCTGACCGATCCTGGTCGGTTAGGCCCCGCAGGTACACAATTACGGACAGATCGAAGCACGCATAACATCATTATCACGGTTACCAGAGCGCGGATGGGCTACAAGGTGCGTTTGAGAGGCACTCTATGAGGCCAGTCGACAGGATAAGTTAACCGTACATGCTTTCACATACAACTACCAGCAAATCCACAATCAAGGGCAATGCATACTGCAGTAAATAAGTGGAAAAAATGGCAAACGAATGCTGGAAAATTTAGAGACACAAAATACCGCGCGAAAACTCATCAGACGGGATACAGATTTGCAGGTATTGAGGGATAAACTAGTGGAAATTCTAATTGAACGGCAGGATCTTGCCCACAGTCTTTCCGTTGCCCTACATACACTCTCACAGGCCCTATCAACTTCATTACAAATGAGGGATAAAACTGGGCTGAAGAAGTCACATCTTGCGAAGCACTCACAAAAACACACATGCCCAGGACCCTGTGCCCTGCATTCCAGAACCGGGCATATAACATAGGTAGGTGGAGCAGTGGATGAATGGGCTTTATTCCCTTTTTGAATGCGAAAAATCGCAGCCAGGACACTAGAACCCACAACCAGTGGCTAAATGGCGTGTGCACCCGCTTTAGAGATGAACAAGAAAGGGAGGCAGACATACACCAACTTTTCACATGTCTCTCACCCTAGACAATCATAATTTGATCATGGGCAGGAGCATGCGCCCAATATATGCGTACATAAAGTTAGACAAAAATGTGCAGGCACTGAAAGCGCGCATAGATGGGCAGGTGAGAATGTGTCAGTAGATGGCCGCGCATTCTGGAGGTATGCGAATCTGGTTGTCAAGGTAGGGCAAACTCAGTTCAAGTGTGTCTCTGACGCCGAGAGCTCAGTGGGCATGCCGCGGCCGGAAGGGGCCGGTGTGGCCTGTCTTGCGGCGCGATCGTCCAGCCCACCGACACGGAGTCTTCGAAACACCGGTCGTCTTGAGCACATGTGGGCTGGAGGGTTTCGGGCTGGCCCGTCAAATGAGGGCCGAGAGACAGGCGCCACAGGCACACGCCGATAGAGGCACGGCCGGGACACATCAGGGCGTATTGGTACAGCAGCCGAATGCGGCATCGATTCGAGGACGAAGCATTCGTCTGCCTAGGAAAGCTTGGCAACTAGACCGGCCGATTGACAGATCAACCGATCCACCGACCAACCGATCAGCCAACCAACCAGTAGAACGACTTTGCGCAGGCTCTGCGACAGTACATAAACTGATAGGGACAGACGGAGACGGCAGAGAGGAATTCCTGCAGTCAGGGCGTCTTAGCGAAGGGAAAGTAGGCCTATGAAGACACGACTTGGGCAAGTGAAGCCCTGGATACAGGCGAAAAATGGAGCTTTAAATACGTCTTAAAGCCCGTAAACTACCCATAAATAAAATGGATGCATATATATATATATATATATAAGCAGATACATGTATAAGAAAGGGTGTGTACTTGGGAGCATAATGTTCAAAAATGCGTAAATATTAGAAACAATACAGGCTGTAGGACAACCGCCAAGTTTACAAGCCCAAGGGAGAATCAGACAGGCCCTAAGCATCTTCAAGGAACGAAGACAAGCGGCCTCAGGAATGCATCCGTTTGGTGGGGCTTGAGGATAAAAATGCGACTTGCTGGTCAATGCATGCCAAGCTTCCATTTGTATTAGCGCACAAAAATAATTGAGAGAATGAAGCACTTATTATGGCGAAATAAGGCCTCACAATCAGAGGCCTCCGAAACGCATTGATCGACGGACGCTAAGCTGTAACTGGCTGAACACACCGGCAGATAGTGTTGATATGTATAGAAGGAATTTGAAAAGCAAACTGGTTAATTTATTAATCACATATGCATAACACACATACACACACGCAGACACACACACGTACACAAATGCAGTGTACACAGACACCGCAGACACCCATACAGACAAGATGCGCTCACACACAAACATGACAAGACATGCACAAGTGTTGTCTTCAATGGCAACGGTAGAAAGGAGGTAACGAGTTTAAATTGTGAATATATTCGTGGAATGGTGTCTTTTCTGGAAACAATAGGCCAAAGCTTCCACAATGCGATATTTCTGGGGAAAACCGTTTGTCAGGACAGCCCGAAAGAAGATCGAGATGGGAAGATAAGAGCAACATCGTACGGCCGACATCGGACACACTTGTCTGTGTGCCCGGTGTACACGCGGACGCCAGCACGAGCAGTCAAGCCAGTGTGCGCCTGTTTTCGTGTGAAGCAATTAGCCAGGCCCAACCCTTTATGGGGCGATGCTCTCGGCCCAGCAGCTGACCCAAACAGTGTGCTTCTCTGGCGCGCGAGATTGCCTAGCCCGAAGGAATGGAATGTGGAGGAAAAGTCATCTCAGTAGGAGTGCATGCATTCCATAGGTCAGGCGAGCCGAGGATGAGTTAAATCCCCAAATAGAAGACTGTCCGCCCTAGATAAATGTGTCTTGAAATTGTTGTAATCAAAAGAAAAAGTAAAACTCGGGAAGAAGAGCTTCGCCATTTGGGCAGTGCCATAATGGCCAGCCCTGCCGGCCGGCATCAGCACACACCCGGGCACAATTTCATATATGTGCACTCGCACGAATGCCTGAGTGCATTCACATGTAGGGCATACTTCAGATACACCATTCTATCTATCGTAAACCTCTCCATTGGGAGGATACAGGAGAAGAGGCTGGTGACACAAATGCTGGGAAAGCCAGTGCTGGAAACAGGATAGAACAGAATAAGTGAAACAAGAGGGCAATTTAGCTTCGGCTTATTAGTTGCTACATCTACCATAATTCACACAATACATACGCACAACAACGATCATTGACGGTGAGGAGGGGAATTTATATGATCCATGAATAAACTAACGATTTTGGTGGCGATTCAAAAGGCAGATGTGACCAGTGATCTATCGGAGATAAGACAGAAATGAAGACACATCAGTTACTGCGCCCGAAGGTTCCACAGCAAGCAGAGCCTCGTGTTCCCGGTGCTAAAAGCCAGTACAGACCGAGGCTACTGGCAAGACATGATAGTGAAGTGGATGCGTCAGACGAAGTCATCCCTAAAAAAGCCACATAATTTTAGAGATCGTCGGCGACTAGTTACTGCAATCTGGAACAAGGCAAAATGGCGATCATTTTAGAGTCAATTTTTTTACATGACCCATGGGCTGTTCTTTCAATGTAAATATAATGCATTCTTTGAGGAATATCTTGAGAGCAAAGATGAGGATGTATGCGTGTGTAAAAGACATGAAGCTTAGATGATGACTATGATTGAAGCGCATGTAAAGTTCATGGTAGAAGGCCTTTGGAGGAATGGAAGGGAACTACTATGTTACGAAACAAGATAGCTGGACACGGTCTCTGACATGTCTAGACAAAATCGTTCGGGAAGGAAGCAACAAGATAATAGTTATAAACTTCTGGGACTCGGGTCGTGTATCACTGATAAAGTATGCTGAAGAGTAGGCATTTGCCAGCATATTTTTGCATATACTTGTCTGTGAAAGAAAATATGCCACCGAGAATGTATGAACACTTTTGTAGGGCACTTTTTACTTTCTTAGGTCGATTTCGCCAAAAGAAGAAAGGACTACTATTCTGGCGAAAATAGACAGGCGCCTGAAGAATTGCTCTCAGAATTAGATGATTCTTGACTTTAGTGATCTGCCTCTCGGAAGATAGTTTTAATGGAATTTAAAGCAAATTTATGCTAAACGCATTGTCTTAAAAAAAGATCATGAACTGAGACAGACCAACCAATCTCAATGACAGCTCAGGAATAAGGTTAGTTTATAAGGTCAATAATGTGCAAATAGAAACTT